CCTTGTCATGGGTAGAAAAAGCTTTTAAGGAAAACATGGCTCCAGCATCCGCCACTTAATGGTTATATCAATTAAATCTACGGTGGTATGAAAAGCAGGTTGCTAGTTGCGTCTTCCAGAGTATCCATTTTAAAGCCTGATCAGTCTAAATTACGCCAGAAAATCAAAGAGCACATAATGACAGCGCTTTCATGATCGTCCCCAACCAGCCAATGAGAGGCTATCAATGCAGTGTTTGATGTTTGCCCCCACCCAAAGGAGAGGAAGTGAGAGAGGACTTTATTCGCCTATGGGAGCAAAACACAAAGGAATGTGGCATGGAGAATTGCGCACCAACTGCACATACGTCTCTCGACCTCTAAGTCATGGGCGATGGTCTTCCGTCTACGTAAATTCTCCTACCTAAAGGCAGGAGGATGTCCAGGCCCAGGCCCCTACATTACGTGGTTAATCAGACAGGCTTGGAATGCATTAAAAAGAAAACGAGCTTAAATTTATCTCCCTTAGTTTTTCTTCATTCCTCCTATTAGAAAATGCCAAGACACGGGTCAACATTTTGGAATAATTTCACTGTAGACGAGATGGTAGGTTTCCTATTTTCATGGAAAAGGGCGCCGTTTACTTACCAAAATCAGTGAGAACGTATTCCAATTCCAAACGAATGGTAGTATCTGCATTTTTCGTAAGTTTGACAATTTGTTCATGAGTGTAATTGGCGGTCACTGCACTATTTATTGCCTTTATCACATCGTTGACAAGGATGCAGTCGCTTCTGTCAGGTAGAAAGATAAGTGTACATACATCTAGCATTGACATCCAAATGTAAAGGGTGCCGCTCACTTGTCAGCTATGGATCCGGGCTTGATGGCGGTGATGCGTGGAGGGTAGCCACGGTCGACACCCCCGGAGACAGTTATCCCCAATGAGGCGTACTTCTGTTTGTGAAGTATCACCTCAACGCTTCCATACATCGTTCCTAATAAATATTTGTCGCACGACTAAATTATTATTGAAGTGTAGATAAGCGAGATTTCCTTAAGATCATAAGAAGAACTTTTAATCAAAAGTTTATCCCCGTATGTAATTTTTAGACAAGAGAAAATGAAAAACAATGGTATACAGAACTGTCCGCCCGTTAAAAATCTAGAGTAATTAGAAAAGTGTGCATTTTAGCTCACCGATATAAGCGCTGAACTCTTAAAGCTAATGTGTTGAATTCGCTCAACTTCTTGAAAATGCATTCACTGTTTTTTGAAGTCAAAGAAAAACATGATAGTTTTCCGGCGCTTAAACCGATGGGTTGTCAGTAAGTTTTCTTCGGTATTGTAGAGCATCGTCGGATTAAAGGTAGTGTGAGCGTAGAGCACTGCACTATTCTAAAGCTCACATTCATATTTTTTTGACTTTACTTTCAGAGAAATTCACTGTAAAAAGAAAGAGAGAACCAGAATGAAGATTTTGCAGTCTTTCCTTTTGATCCAGAAAATTTAATTACACTTTGAGATTTTGTTGAAGGGGAGTTAAAAGTGTGTGCTGGGAAGCGCGGAAAAGGGGAAAGCAAGAGATTGCAACTTTCATTTGCTATTATAATAAAAAGTGAGAGGAATATTTAAAGGGAAGTAAAAGATTTTATATCTTTCTAAATCGCTACTACTGATTAAATCATTTAGTAGGATCACGTGTTATCACAGATGGAGCTGTGATCCAAACATAACGAAGGGAAGA